TATATATAGCGAGTGTGTGAGTGTTAACACACTCATACAAATATATGGAGGGTCATCGTTCTACCTCTCCATCAGTTTGGGGGTCCCAGACTGAAAAACTTCGAAGACCCCTGGCTTAAAGATTAAATGAAAACTTTTCTGTATCCATTACTCCCCCCCAAAACAAAAAAACAACCAAACATAAGAGATAATGTAAAGAAGCTGAAAGTTGTGGTTGAGTTCTTTGAGCAGGCTTGTGTTAATCTGTGTACGTCTGGATGTATTTACGGAATATCAGCGCTGTCACTTGAAGAGTGGATCATTTAGGAGCACAGAGCAGTTTGTCATATGCCTGCTCCGTCCAAGTCTTCCTCTGAAAGCCTCGGGGGATGTGTGTGTGTGCGACTGCCAGCGTYCATAACATCAAAACTACAGTAGCTCGCCAACACTTGTGTCCTACTTTCTGAACCACCTGCGCTTTTATAGAGTGAGGACAATTTTTACTAATCTGCYAATGTTCAAGATAAGAAGCATGAAAACAAGGGTCATTTAAAACAAACCCAAGGCGTTCAGAGAGGTGTTACGTTGCAGTCCTTCAGTTTRGCCAACACACCGTCTAAAACTGAAAAGTCATATGCTTTTAAATAGATTGTGCTTCATGTTGAGTAAATTTGAAATGTGGGTTCAGCTGTTCATGTGTTTCTCCTACAGGGGCTTATGGTGTTGTTCTGAAGTGCCGACACAAGGTAAGACCAAAACTTTTCTCTTGTTTTATACATTTTGTACAACAATGCTGTACAAGARCGTTAACCTAAACCAGCAACAAACTAATAGAGTGCATTAATAAAGTTTATCCCACACATACACAGCTGACCAGCTAGAAAATGTTAAATATTAACTTGCTTTCAGTGTTTTTTTTTTAAGAAATATTGGAATACAGTGTTGAAACGTGGCTAAGCAGATTTGAACTTGTTTTTAAATACATATTCATTTTAGACTTGGACATAGGGCTACAAAATATATTGTAAATTAATTGTTATCTCGATAACAGCCAGTGCAATATGCAAATCACAAAAAAATGCATAAATTGCAATAAATGATTGGCTCTAATTGCATTTATGTGGTTTATCAGCATCAGTCAGATAACAAAATGCACCAGAGAAACAACATCAAATCATAATCGTTCCATCATGTTGTAATGAAAATTATGTATTAGTATGTTTTTGCCCTGGAAAACATCAACACTGCATACTTAAGGTTGATTTATTGCAAGTCATATCTTCATAGGAGTATTAAGCACTGTTATCGCAGGTTTTCTTGATATCGTGCAGCCCTACTTGCACGTTTTCTGTTTTAAAGGGATCCACGATTAGTTGTAACATTAGACTTTATTTGATAAACATTTATTT